TCGCCTATTAAGCTGGAACTTCCATTCTGTTCCTATCTCTGTATCGACCCTCGCCTTTTAAATTGGAACTCCCGTCCTTTTCCTATGCCTGTATTAACCCTCGCCTATGACGTTGGAACTTCAATCTTCTTCCTATCCCTATATAGACCCTCGCCTATTAAGCTGGAACTTCCATCCTCTTCCTATCCCTGTATAGACCCTCGCCTATGAAGTTGGAACTTCCATCCTCTTCCTATGCCTGTATTAACCCTCGCCTATGAAGCTGGAACTTCCATCCTCTTCCTATCCCTATATAGACCCTCGCCTATTAAGCTGGAACTTCCATCCTCTTCCTATCCCTGTATAGACCCTCGCCTATGAAGCTGGAACTTCCATCCTCTTCCTATCCCTATATAGACCCTCGCCTATTAAGCTGGAACTTCCATCCTCTTCCTATCCCTGTATAGACCCTCGCCTATTAAGCTGGAACTTCCATCCTCTTTCTATCCCTGTATCGACCCAAACCAGTTAGCTGAATAATTGATAAAGCTTGTCTGTTGAGTATGTAGCCCTTTTTCATAAGTGATGTATATGTGTCTTGGAATCAACGTACATATTTTTGTTACATGTTAGAATAGTTAGAAAAACGTGATCAGTCATGGTTTAATATGACGCATATTTTAATTTCAGGTAGTTTTATCCACAAACAGGTATATGATAGGTATGTAATGTTTAGGCTACTACAGGTTTGTTTTTCATCTCTCTACCAAGTCTATCAATTACTATGAAGTTATCTGGATGGTCTTATATCTTATTTCACCTAATGGATTAAAAGTTTGAAACTTTTGTACAAAAAATGCCAAAATAATATTCTAACACAGAATTACAATAATAGTTCACATTCCCCAGGAAATCGAAATAAGATATTTTTTGCACAGTCGATATTGCACGATCAGTTCATGCCTGATGTCGGCAATAAAATTAAGTTTTCTCTAGTGGTTTTAACCAAACACATAAACGGATCCATGAGGTTGGTGAAAACGCTAATGGAATATACCATTGACAGTTGATTAGAGACGAATCAAATGTTTTATTACCCGATGGGCATGAATGACCTCTTCAAGTACACTTCACATTTTAAGTTCGTAACTATTAATCATTTTGAGACAGTCCTAGCTTCTGGCAATGCTGCATATTATATTATGTTATTTTATCTCAGCGTACCGCTATCACAACTCCACAGCGCACCTCTTATAACCCTTTTGGTTTTCAGAATGTTTTTAGATATGTATTAACATGTTCATGTAACTTATTCTCTTTCTTCCATTGATTTCGCAATTGCGTTTAATTATCATCTTTATTGATTAATGGTTGCCAGGCAACAACCAGATTCTCCACTACCGCCCATATTTTTGTATTATCTAAATATATTCAAACCTACATTGACTACATTGATGAAGTTTTAATATACGTAGACTGTTTGTGTGAGGGTGAACATAGTGTATCTAGGGAATAATGATATGGCAATTTCAGCTGCCAATTCTGGGACTGCTTTTCTTTTCCTAAGAAATCAAATCACACAGAATAAGGCATTTAGAACTCTGAAATATACAGTCAACGAGTTTGCAAAGTGTTATCGTATGAAATAAAACCGAACAATAAAGAAAGAAGAGACAAATCGAAAGAACACGTGAGGATATAAATAGTGTAGGAGATTATCGACCCAGCTCACTAAATCTGTAATACTGCTGTAGGCTGTATATATCATACACTTCATCTTTCGTTATCTTAGACATAAACATCAATAATACCGCCTAATAAAACACACATCACACTTTTTTTTCGCATTGGCAAGAAATTGACAACCGTCTGGTGAAAGTGACACTTTCAGCTGTAGGTTTCTCTAGCAACTCACGTGAAGTCCCTTTTACTATCTCCAATGTTATTTGGAATGCTTTGTGTCTGGAGTTTGCCAGACTATTCCTCAAGCTTTATCTATCAACGAAAGAAAACGACAAGTGTAGAAGTTTTATATTGAATTTATTTTTATATACCGTATATGTAAACAATATATAATGGCACGTGTTTCTAATTTCTATTTATTTTCTATTCTCAATTTCCCACCCCCATTACCATTATATCATTATCATATCATCATACTTTGTCATCAATATCTAATCTTCATAATATATCCTCAACATTATATCCTCATTCAATCATCGCAACAATACATCATCATCATCATCATCATCATCATCATCATCATCATCATCATCATCATCATCACCATTCTTTGTCAGCATCATCGTATCTTCAATACAGCATCGTAAACCTCAGCACAAATACCCTCTGGCACCCTATTATGCATATACAGTTTTATAAAAATGGGGACACATACTAACCCACATATATATATAACAAGCAAAGCACATACGCAGAGAGAGAGAGAGGGGGGAGGGGGGGGAGAGAGAAGGGGAGAGAGAGAGATGTCAGACATTCAGATCAATAAATAGCTAATAATGATACTGTAATAATAATACTGTTCTCCTTTATCATAGGCATTGTATCTGTATATCTTTACAGTACTATTTCATAATTTGTCCATCTAAGCATCTGGTTATATATACATAGTGCTTGATAAGCAAAACATTCCTTTATCAGTTATATTGTTGAAAACTGTTTGTTAAAATAATCCAAAATTCATAGCCGTTTATTTATGTTACGCTCTCAGTTACTCAGTTACATTTCCAGAATCATTGAGTAAAATCAGGAGACAATACCATGTGACATCTAATTGTTTAGTGATGATATTGCAGTTGAAGTTGATCGCTGAATTGAGAACAAGACCTGCTGCTCTCTGCAGTAGTCTAACTTTTATCGTATTTCTCCGCATTCTGACACCTGATATTGCCCACAAGCTCGCTTGGAAACAAAGAGAAAGTAAATCGAAATAAAACACAAACATTAGTATCATAGTTATTCATGGTCTCCTCTTGTATTAGATTTAGGATACTCGTCTTGAATATTTCATTATTGCAATAATGAAAAATCCAATACTTGTATCATAAATCTAATATGAAGGGAAACCCATGACAGAAACTCTGTTCATGAAACGATCCATTGGAATGTCTGTTTTGGTCAGCAATGTACCTTCAAGACCAGTTTCATTAAATATCAAATAAATTGAAAACATCTCTAACAGTTTTATCGCAAAAGTGAGAAGAATCGCCTTTGACAGGGTTTAAGGTAAAAATGTAGAAGACAGAAATAAATAGGGAATGCCGATGTGTAGCACCATTTTTAATTTATGACGTAACGTCAATATCCGTATTTGATCAATGTCCATATTATGGCATCACAGTCGATTTCTCAATGACGCAACTAATGAAAAATGCTTGAGTGTAAAGCATACTAATGACATAGACTCAAACATCACATGGTCGAAATATCAAACAAGCAGATTATGAAATAAATCCATCTTATGATATGGTCTTAAGTAGGAATACAACGTTTAAAAAACGTACCAACATGTCAACACAGTCATAATAAACTCAAATTCAATAAAACAAGGGCAAAATATAACAAAAGAAAAATTACCACGAAAACCCATGAAAAAATTACAAAGAGAATAAGACCAGGTTTTTTGGAGAAGCAAATGTCTTCTGTTTTATCGACGACATCCGCAATGTGAATCTTGTTTGCTTCAAATAAGCAATATCACGCTATCAAATGAGAACAAGGTGGAGCTCTCGTGATCCTGTGAATAGCAAGTGCTAAACTGGCCGTGGTGGATTTCGATATTTGGTGTTACGGCTTGGATATAGCAGGATGGAATATTCACATGTCTATGTGCATTAGAAATTACAGCTGCTAGGTTTGAACATTCGAAAACAAATCGCTTCTGTATCTAAACTGCATGAACACTCCGCTTTCAGAAGTTACATTAATTAGATATCAGTAGTTGGAAGAGTAAGGCTTCGGGAAATTTCACGTATCATAAATATGACAAACGTACATATCAGATATGTTTGGGTTTGTCTTCATTGTTAAATGATGCTGGAAGCAGTCTGTGAAGGATGATGAATGACATCACAAATGTCTGTCCACCAGCTTATCGTATCATAATCCAATTATGAAACGGAGCACTCCGATAATGTCAATCAATTTTAATGTACGGATGAATTTGATACTGCCGTAGTCCTGTCTGTAAACAAAGTAATCACAAAAGCTGTCTAACGAGTTTTTAAATTCTGTCTTACCGTTTGATAACCATATATAACTGAAATTTTATACTCTTGTCTCATTACCACTTCTTTCTTTGAGAGAAGTGACCATATCTTATAAACAGACATTTTCTCTCGCAAACGGAGAAAAAATATTTGATTTCAATTATTCTGATCCCAAATTAATTTTCCTATGTGAATGTGTAATTGAGTGATTGAGTATCACAGGCGTGCATTCTGTTAACAATAAGTGTCATGTTACGGTCATAAGTATTGCAATGGATTTTACATGCAATTTGAAACATTTCTCAGAGTGAATGATATGGTGTAGTTGTATAAAGCCCTTAAAGTGTATCGATTAAGATTTAATTAGTTATTTATTCAGTTATTTTCATCCAGGATGAAAAATTCCCGGATATAAATATGTACATCTTATAATTTAAGGCTTGAATGTGTCTTTGTGTAGAAGAATTTGCAGTTCTTAGTTATACATATAAATATAACAAGCGGAACAAGCAATTTCAACTGATACATATCACTCTTGTTGGCCCGGATGTAAGCGCGCGAGGTGTCTTATTATGGGAAGAAACAGGAGTACCTGGGGAAACCCCACGTGGTCGGGTCAAGTTACCCCTAACCATTTGCTGTGTAGCTGTATAAAGCCCTTGAAGTCTATCAGCTGATAGTTTTCATGTTATAACCGTATGAACAGTCGATAACTAGTATGTGTTTACTCTTTCTACTGTTTCAGAATGTTGGGTAGCTGACCGAAATACAGCCGACGGCATTTAAAACATCATGGAAAAGAGAGAGAAAAGTCACTATAAGAATAAACTTGTTACAGGCGATTACGTGGAATGTCAGAAAGCCCTGTCTCGTTTCATCAAAGAAGGTGACAATCAAAAAGCGGACGATCTTTTGAACCTTATTCAGAACTACAACCGTACTGATATTCTAGTCAAATATCGCGAAAATGAAGATGAAACGTTTCTACATACGGCCGCAAAATATCAAGACGATGATATCATGGTCCAACGACTTGCCAGAGTATGTCCACAACTTCTTACTCAGGCGAGGGAAAACTCGGAAGATTATAAGGGACAGACTGCCTTCCATATAGCAATAACCAAGGGCAACGAACAAGCTGTTGAAACTATGCTTGTACAGGCGAAGCAGGCACAATCCACTGATCTCTTAAAGAGGATGATTTATACAGAGGCAACTGGAGCGCGGTTTGTAAATACAGTGATGATGGGTGGAATACCCCTCAGCGTCGCAGCTTTAGCATTTTATGAAGGTATAGTTACAACTTTAATTGAAAATGATGCTGAAATAGAATTTGCAAACGTAGACGGTGATACTGTATTCCATTCCTTGATTAAGTATGCTGCCATATATCCTGAAAAAGTCATTGATGTGGTGTCAATGCTCAGACACCTCCAGGAAGAACTGATGAATAAAGGGATAACAGAGCATATGTTTTCAGATGATACCGAAAGTCTAAAGTATAGATACCAATACACGTATGTGTGGTTCATAAGAAATAAGGAACATCTCAGTCCACTACAGCTAGCAGCTAAACATGGCGTCGTGGAAGCATTCAATTTCATCATGAATCTGGAAAACGTCTACTGTTTCTTTAGCACGCACGATGGTCTGTTTGACATTAAAATGTATGACGTTACAGAGGTAGACTCACTTGCAAATGTAAGAGCAGCTGCCTCAAATTATGGCCAAATGAAGAAGTCGCTTAGCCGCGGAACCGTGATTCCAAAATGGGAAGGAATTGCTAGCAAACAATTGCGGAAGTCCAAACAGCAGTATGTGACATGCTGCAGTGATTACCCAAAGACAGAAAGCATTTTAGAAATGATGTTCAACAACAGCTACCATTCCAAAGACGCTTTCCGACTGATAGAAATGCCGCCCGTGAAGAATCTAGTTCGTGCCAAGTGGACATTTTATAGATGGATTTACTACATCTGGTTTTGTTTCCATGTACTTTTTATCGTTGGTCTAACAGGGTATGCTGTTTTAAGGCCACAAATATTCTTCAACACATCCGGCAAATCTCGGGCAGATCGAGAAGCCGATAACCCGCAGGTGAATTACTTTGTCAATGTATTCCACTGGTTAACATTTGTTTGTGGTTTGCTCTACGTTGCAGTATCAGTTCTACTTTTTGTGCCAAAATTCCGCCGCTCTAATTCCCGTCAGTATTTCCTACATAATCTGGAATATATAGTGATTCTTTCTGTTCATTCAAGTTGTATTATCGTAGATACATTCATGACAGCTTCAGACGATTCTCACGATGGTATACCACTCATTATCGCTTTGATTACTGGTTGGTGGTTCACGATATTCTTTCTGCGACCACAGAGGATATTCAGCTTCTTCACGGAGATGATTAAACGAGTGATAATTGGAGATTTATTCAGATTCGGTATCGTGTTGCTATTTGAACTAATTTCCTTCACAGCAGCATTACATATCCTCTTTCAAGTGGATGTTACTCCGAATGGTGACGGTGACGTTGTCCAGAACGAATACTCGTCCTACTGGACAACCATGTTGATGATGTTCAAACTTATGCTCGGTCTTGGAGACATCGAGTCTCTGTTCGAATCCCGCGTGCCTTGGTTGTCTGTTGCACTATTTGTTGTATTTGTAATACTTTCCTATGTCCTTCTGCTGAATGCCCTGATCGCCATGATGTCACAGACTTGTGCTATCGTTCTTGAAGACAGATATCCGCAGTGGCGAGTACAACAACTATCTGTGATTTTGTTTCTGGAAGACATTTTTTGTTTATGTTGTCTAAATAAAATTTTACCTTGTCATGCAGAACCTAGGGAGATACGCGGGTTTGATACTGCTACAAAGCAAAACAAATCTGATAAACGTTTTCTCTTTGAAATACATTCCCTGCAAATGACATATGCTACTGAGGAAGATAAATCAGGATTAGTTAAAACTGCAGCGCAAGGGGTAGCAAATGTGACAGCTCATTACGATTTGGATGCACGTATGAATACTATGAGTTTCAGACCTTTGAGTCCGATACATAGAGCAACTTCATCTTTCATGAGCACAAGAAGAACCCGCCCTGGCATGTTTATCGACACGAAATCTCCAATGAAACCTACGAGACGAAATTTGGATGTTTTAGAAGAAGAAGCAGAAGAAGCAGAAATAGATACCCTTCCAAGGAAAAGAAAACAGGCCAACTTTCTAAACCATCTGCCAGAAATTGTACAAAGTGGACACAGCCCACGTTTACAGAAAAAACAAAGCTCTAAGCGTAAGAGACACAAATCGGAAAACTTACACGAAAAGAAACCATCCTCACCTACGATGGTAAACCCTGAATCTAATGGTTCGATGTATGCTTCAGCCCCGGAAGGTCTGCCTATCGTTGGGAAAGGTCGAGAGATAGATATTCAAACCGTTCGTCCCTCACATGTTTAGATAAGCATATGATACCATCGTATCTAAGGCATAACCTCAATGCCATGACAATATTAAAAGCATGTTTAGTTTCGTCTGTATGGAACAAGTCAAACTTCGCGATGCATATTAAAGAGTAATAATTATAATTGATAAATGATATAAAGTAGGTATCTTTTGCAAATTTAATAAAGGAAATGTGAATTGTGGCTAATTCTTTAGTACCACATCAGAACAATTTTAATCATAATAAGCAGAATGAAAGCAATTCCTATTTCGTACAAACAGTGTCAATTCAAGTTTTTATACTTATATTAGATATATCTTTTGAATCATGTTAATATTATCTAACTTCTCATGTACATGAAATTGAAAAAACACCCTATCCAACAACACATAATTTGATATCATACAATACAATTTTCCGGCTCAAATATTGTTCAAGGTGTTAAATCTTGTAATGGAACTTTTTTATATTTTTTATAACGAAATCATTATCCTTTAATTATTTGAATATATTTCGAAAACTGTCGTTTTAATATGTTTATGTGTATAATAATGTGATGTGTGTAATGGGATGGTTAGCTTTTAATAGCAAACAATATAGTTATAAATACAGCAATACGTCACTTCAAAGTCTTCAACGGCACCGGTCGGAAAGTTATCAAAATAGCACAAATTCGTGAATTTGGAAATTTTTCATTATCAAAGATCAATTTCAACCAGTAATATAATTTATGTGTTACTATGTGGAAGGTGACATGTCGTCTAATTTTGAAAGAATTTGCATCACTTATTTATATATGTATGTATTCAAAATAAGTATGACTTTACGTTTCGATAAGCAAGTTGAGAACAGCTTTAACTAATGTCATATTCATACTCAGAGCCCGTTGCATAATCATTGTGTTAGCTTTTGATTACTTAACATGCATTTCGAATGTAACAAAATGAGCATTACCACGTTACGTATCAACCTTGACCAAAGGGGAATAACTCCTTTATACATAGAGAAAATCGGCGAATCAATATAAAACCTTCGGTATTGAACTTCAAATAGTGACCATCTCACAAAGACCACTCAAAACAGAATATAAACGTTCCTTTAACTTTGATTAATTGCATTTAAATTCAATGCATTTTTGTTGAATATTTATTTATTTAGTGATCATAGTGATCTCATTATTGAGAAGCATTTTCTTTCTTTATGAGATATGAAGCTGGGAGTGTTGGATATTCGTTACTTTGCTTTCTTTATTGTATATATTTGAGAACGTTACATTGCTTACTTGACTTAGATTTGCATGGTGAACGTCTTCCATGAAGCAGATGACGGACCAGGTAATATTTTCTTGTACTTTTTCATGTGTTTCCATATAAGTCTTTCATTTGTTCATAGATTTTTAACCTGAGTTTGCACAATAATTATGTTCACGTGTTGGTTTCTGATACTCTATGTATATGTTTTGCTAAGAACACGTGTTAAGATTTGATGTCAAAGCAAACACTTTTAGATTTGATATCAAAGAACACTTGTTCAGATTTGATATCTGAGAACACATTTTCAGATTTGATATATAAGAACACTTGTTCAGATTTGATATCTGAGAACACGTGTTTAAAATTGATATATAAGAACATGTGTTCAGATTTGATATCTAAGAACATGTGTTTAAAATTGATGTGTGATAACACATTTTCAGATTTGATATCTGAGAACATGTGTTCAGATTTGATATCTTAGAACACGTTTTAAGATTTGATATCTGAGTACAAGTGTTTTTAGATTTAATATTTAAGAACACCTGTTAGATTTGATATTTGAGAACACGTATTTAGATTGGATATCAAAGAAATCGCATTTAGATTCGATATCAGAGCACACGTTTTAATAGTTGATACCAGAGAACACGTGTTTAGAGTTTATATCAATGAAAGAACGAAAATACCACTTTTCTTCTTTACCAGCATTTTTATTTGTCTATTTTGTTTGATTGATGTTTTTTTTTTAAAGTAGGTAAGGAAAAAGGGTACAAGAAAGTATTACGTTGAGAGTATACATGACAACATGTACATAATGTATATGTAGGAGACAAACATATATTTTAAGATGAAAATAATATTGTTTGCTATTGTTGACAATCCTTTTTAAGGGACAAATCACAAATATGATAATTTATTTTTGTTTTTGTTAAAGCACAAGAGAGAAATATCAAATTATTTCATTTATATTTGTATATTTTCTGCCAACAGGTGGGTTATTTTCTGTACAGTGATTTCTGAAAGTGCTTCCCTTCATTAATGACCACATATGTACTAGATTGTCTGTTATATTGTGTTCAATTTATAATACTTAAGCGTTTTGATTATCGTTGTCTTTCATTTTCGCTGTTGACAGATTGAGGAAATAGCTATTTCAAATACATGTTTTGTGATATCTTGTTCTCCTAGTACGAGGAAAGATTAGAAAACACAACCTTGTATATCCTTAACAAAAATATTTAATATCTTTATCTATTTTAGGTGTTTTGCTTATCAGTGATATCGATATACACATAAATGAAAACAAATCAATAGTGGACATGTTACTATTAACAGGGTGTAATAAGTTTATGTGTTGTTTATCAATCAAATTAAAGAAATACATTCATATGTATGTAGATACACAGTATTCATTAACGTATTAATACGTATGCTTTGTTTTCTGTGATAATCATGACAATGGTGTTTTTTCCTTTTTATCTGATAGCTTATATTTCTTGTTTAACATTTATACGTGTTTGTTTTATCAATGCAGACAGAATAAAGATTTTATTCATAGGTCATAGTGTTATGTTATCATTTTTGTCCCGATTTACGTCACTCGATTCGTCTCTTTCAACATACATGTCTATCAAGCTAGCGCCCATTACAGCAAAGTACGCTATAGAAATATGTATAATAGGGATTACACCACCACGGAGCCGTAAGGTATCTTACTGAATTAAACAAGTGTGAAAAAAAATTCAACATCGTATTTTATCTATAACTTAATAGTATTGTGGAATTGTAAAGAGAGAAAAGTACATATCATCTTTTAATACAAATTTTAAATTCGGTACAATACTTAAATAAGTAATTAAATTGCATCAATCAGCTGTTTCGTCCTCTAGGGGCACGTTAAGAGGATACGATCTAAATTCACTATAGACGAATGTGAAAAATTGATCGAAAGAAATGTCAAAATCTAATCAGGGAGCTGGGAGCTTGGTCGGCAATAAATTTCGTTATTTCCATATATCCGATAATATATCTGATGTGTTACACTTTACTTACTGTGCATGTGCTTTAATATAGGATCATAAATTCCAAAGAAAATTTCCTCGAAGCTCAAGCTTATTAATAAGAAAAGTTCATCATAATTTGAAATCCATCCAAAATTGACTTCCTTTACCACCGATTGTCGTTTTTAAAGAAACGAGATAGAGTTAACGGATGAAGGTCAGTGCCTCGATACGACCACGCATAACTCATTACACGATTACAACGTGTCATTATCTAATACTAAATAAGTACACGAAGTGGATCAGAATTATCGGTAACGTATATAACACGGAATCCTTACAACAAAGTATTCACTATGAGTGCATTACTTTATTTCCGGTCAGCAGACATAGTTAACATGATCGCAGATATGGGCTTTATCACGTGACGAATAGGTAATTGTAAGCTGTTTGTCTGATGTTCAGTATGCATGCATTCACAGGATCAACATTTAAACTAGAGTATTCAGAAAGTGTAGAAATACCCAGAATATCCATCCCCCCTCCCCCTTTAATGAACGAATTAATACATGAACATGTGTAGTAGATCAGTAACAACAGAATACCTCTGGCCACTGGCCAATACATAATTGTTCACAGTAGATGTCAGTAATAAATTGACATAGGCAGATACATTATGATGAAGCATCTTACTTATGTCTAGCACAATTTTGAATAATTTAATCTTACATATTAACTTCTAATAGTTCACTACCTTCTAATTATCATCAGTTATTTAGGTTTTTTTATATTGGGAGATGGCTTTCGTTCAACCTCTTTGATGTAATGTAAATAATACATGTGTTAGATATGACTTGATATAACTTGTTCCAGAATTACTGTAAAATAAATAAAATTGATTTTAAGTATATTGTAAAAAACCTACCGAATACGAAATTGTAAATATTGGTAAATTGTAATATATGAAAAGGTACAATGTATAAATACGATGAAATAAATTAGTTCACGTGTCATAACTAAGTACCCTTGAAAATATGGGGTTTTTTTAAGATAACACTTGTAAATAAGTCTTTTTATTCCATTATCCAAATTCATTTTTTTTTTTTTGTCAACTTTAAAGTTAACGACTATATCAATCATCATATATCATATCGACACTAAGTGGTCAAGGCCAACGTTTGCGGCCTACATTTCAACACCATTGCGTAATGTCCACTGTTTTGGGTAAACGATACCTCGATAATCAAAATTTTCTATAGGAAATGCAATTTGTCTAAATAATCATATCTCCTGATATCTGGTTCTATTCAAATGAAATCTAAGCTGTTTATTGTTCGGTAATATATTAAAAAGTCTTCCATATTGGATCCAAATTGCGGTTAATTCCTCCTAAAAGCCGGAAACATTTTCTTCATCATATACGTGTTAGTTTTACAAACACTTAACTTTATACAGATAGATGGTGACCTGGTCAGATTTGTGCTATGACTGTAACCTTGTTTGACACATTGACAATGTAGTAAATATACCGCTCCTTAAGTCCCTAGCAGAGGAACAATGTTGACAACAACCTTGAACATTTCTAAAGGAACCTTATTTTATTAATTCAGTTATAAAAGTAGAGTGTTACAAAGATATTCTTGCGTTTTAAAATTAATTCAAGATAAGGCTTAATACCGATATATCTATCAACATACAGATACTTTTTTTTATTATTTTTTTTTTTTCTATTTATTTTATTTTCATTCAATTATTTAT